CGATTTTCAAAAATTCACTTATCTCTTAAACTAAAGATAACACCACGAATTGTTGATTATTACTGAAAAGACTGAAGGAGAATTCTCATCAAGTAAAATATAAAATAAGTATATTTTATACAGTAAAAAAAGGTTGAAAAACGCATTTCAAGAGTACTTTAAAAAGTGACATTTTGCAATTTTCTTTTATTCAAATACTTGAATAATATAAATGTAAACTAAAAGAGATAAATAGATCTGAGTCTAGCGTCTTAATCTACGGGCCAATCTCTATCAGATAGGATAGTTAAAAGGAAATCTGAGAAGATGTGAAATTTTAAATCTTAAGAAAAAATTGCAAGGAGATTGTAGTACTTTTTGACGATTTTCAAAATTAATATCTCTTAAACTAAAAGAATAACTTTACTTAACGAATTCTTTGATTATGAGAAAGACTGAGAAAATTCTCTATCAGATAAAAATATGCAAACTAAATTTATATTTACCTGGTAAGGTCGAAAAACGCGACTAAAAGTGCTAAAAAGTGACATTTTGCAATTTTTGCTATTTTATTCAATCATGAATAATATAGTAAACTCAAAGAGATAAATAAGATCTGATCCGTCGCTTAATCTTGGACCAATCTCTATCAGATATAGGATAGTTAAAGGGAAATCTGAGAGATGGAAATTTTAATCCTTAAGAAAATTGCAAGGGGGTGCTTGGTACACTTTTTCATTGATTTTCAAAATTCATATCTCTTAAGCGTAAAGACCATTTCACCAAATTTGTGAGTTGTAGAAGACTGAAGGAAAATTCTCTATCAAGATAAAATGTAAAATAGTATATTTTCTCAAGTAAAAGGTCAAGAGCACGCGACTAAAAGTGCTAAAGTGACATTTTGCAATTTTGCCTATTTTATTCAATCGCTAATATCTCGTAAACTAAAAGAGATCGAAAATAAGATCTGATCGCAGCGTCTTAATCTACGGATAATCTCTATCAGATAGGATAGTTAAAATCGAGAGAGATAGAAATTTTATCGCCAAGAAAAATTACCGCGGGGGTAGCATTACTTTTAAACGTTTTAAAAAATTCATCTCTTAAATAAAGATAGCTATAACGGAATTCTTGATTGCTACGAAAGATTGAAGAATTTCTCTATCAAAGATCAAAATATAAAACCAATTATATTTCCTACAGTAAAAGGTGAAAACACGACTAAAAAGTGCTAAAAGTGACATTTACCGGTTTTTTGCCCTGTTTTATTCAATCGCGAATATCTCGTAAAACTAAAGAGATAAATAAGTCTGATCGCAGCGTCTTGTCTGCGGATAATCTCTATCAGATAGGATGGGGTGAAATCTGAGAGATAGAAATTTTAGTGTAAGAAAAAATTGCAAAGGGGGTGCTTGATACTTTTTCGACGATTTTCAAAAATTCAATATCCTCTTAAACTAAAAGAGATAGCTGCCAACAATTACTTGATTATAGAAAGACTGGAAAATTCTATCAGGGAGATAAAAGCCAAAATAATTCTCATCATTTCAAGTAAAAGGTCGAAACGCGACTAAAATTCCATGCTAAAAGTGACGTTTTACAATTTTTGCCTATTTTATTTCAATCGCATGACATATCTATTAAGCTAAAAGAGATAAATAGATCTGATCACCAGCGTCTTAATCTTACGGGATGAAATCTCCATCAGGATAGGATAGTTAAAAGATCGGTAATCTGAATTGCCGGGGGGGTGCTTGATACTTTTTTCGGTGATTTTTCAAAATTTACTTATCATGGCTTCTAAAAGTAAGCACACCCCGAATTGTTGATTATGAAGATTGGAAAGATTCTCTTCAGATAAAATATAAAATAATTATATTTCCTACAGTAAAGGTCGAAAAACGCGACTAAAGTGCTAAAGTACATTTTGCGGTTTGCCCATTTTATTCAATCGCGAATGCTCTCAGCCAAACTAAAAGACCAAATGGTACGCAAATCGCAGAGACTATGCTGAACTATTCTCTATAAGATTAATGATTCAATGTAATGGGGTGAACTCATCAGGCTATACCGGCGGTTGCATTTATATGTTGGCGCATAAAGATGCAAAACTAGCCTGTTTGGTATCAGGTGTACTCATATTTACGTTGATATTGCATGGCTGAAATCGCCTTGATTCTGCAAACCGCTGGTAGGATGCTTGCAGTCCGTTGAGGCCCCGGTCAAACCCCATGGAATTGGAATTATTTTTAACTTGCGCCCGCTTACGATGAATTTTGCGGTACGGATTACGCGAGCTTTCGGATTTTTAATCAGCGTCCACGCGCTCGTTTGTGGAATAATTAGGATGCATTTTTATGAGCACTTTTCCTAACAGGTGAAGGGGACAAGCACGACCACCCTCATTTCGGTAGCTGTTGGGCGATTCCATTATATTGGTTTAATCGCGGCGCGTTAGATACCCGCTCGATAGGTATTTCATTTACACCTATCCAGGTCTCTCGCGAATATCGTTATCACTTATACCCGTGAATCGAAACAAAGATTAAAATACTGGATAAGGATGATTTGGTAGATATTCGGAACTATTTTTTTAAAGTGAATAAATAACGGCAAATAAAGTAATCCTAAATTGGCAAGGATTTTTTTTAAATTATAGAAAATAAGAATATTAAAATTAAAAATAATAGTAATGCAAAATCTTCAGGGGTAGTTTACTTTAAAACGCTGAAGGTGTAGGCATCATTAAGTACGACACGAAGTACATAAGGCAAAAAGCGGGCGCGATTGCAAAATTTTAATACATATCAGATATGTACCTGAAAGACAAACAGAAGAACAATTAGTAACAGAAATTTTAAAATTATTAGAGACATTGAATAAACGTTACAGCAATATTTCCGAACCCGCATTTCTTGGGAAAGTAAAAGACTATTCTGGACATCTTGTGGGTGGCATGGCGAAATATAGAACAGCGGAAATTTTGTAGTAAAGAAATAAAGCAACGCTTGATTTGTTTTAATACATGCCTCCAGTGAACGGAGACGTTTCAAAAGTGGATTGAGAAACAGATCAGGCTGCACCGTCATAAGCATCCACCGTAAGCAATGAGCAAATTAAATATAACAAAATACTAAAGAATAAATAAATGATAAATGTAAGGCTAGAAAATAAAAATAAGTGTGCATTATCAGCAGTGCCGAATGGAGTTGGAATGTTGGAATGTAAAATTCAAAACAACAACATGGCGTCTCTTTGTGTTAGCAGTGCTGCACAACTGGCACTCTACTGCCGCACAGTTACCGTTTGAAACATGTGAAAAGCAAACAAACAGCTGATAACTTCGCCGCGTACAATTCGAGAAGGTGAAACTGTGGTCACCCCAACCTCAAGTCGATTGCACAATAAAACTACATCCGAATATTCCAATTAGAGACATTGCAGTACATGATTTGATTTATGTGATGATGCAACTTGGTGGTTGCGAACGTGAAAACGACGTTTGAATCGCGGCCATATTGCAAACACGCGTCTAACGCCGCATAAAAAAATGCAGCGTGCAAATTTTACGAATTACAGATTTAATCAAAATGCGAAATCAAAATAATGCAAGAAACTTACTTGTGAGTGCCTCGAGGAATGTTTTTCACTTGGTAGCAACACTTTTTTACTGATTTAATAAATTATTGACAATTTTATTAGCGGAGGTGTAACTGCAGACAATGTCGCGCACTGAATGATGATGCTCAGCGTGCGTTGCGCGTTAACCTGTTTCCCTGCGCCGGACTTGCGCACAAAAAGTTCGGCGTTGAGGTGATGTTGATAAACCCGAAAACAAAAACATGCAAACAACGCACGAATTCTATATTACTTTAAGATCGCATATTGCATGACATGATTGCATTCGAAGGTCGCTTGGAATGTTAAGAGATAGTGTGAGTTGTTATTTTTTTTATTCTGCGCGACTTCCGACGTCTCACCCCGCAACCCGAAATGCGTTGATAAGCCTGCAAACAGACAAATAAATGAAATTGAATCTTTATTTTGATTTACTTGAAATAAAACGTAAATACTTGTTACTTTAATTGTAGTATTAAATAATTATTTAATTTATATAATATTCTTAGGAATTATTGTTGCAACTATCCTAAAACTATTTAAAAAATAAAATATTGACACTCAGAACGGCGCAAAGTCGGCGCAAGGATGGCACGCGATGACTGCCGGCGACCTTGTGCGCGAATTGCATTTTTCAAGAATTTTTCACAGAGTGTTGCCATAAAATTTTCTAGGTTGGCTGACGCGCGTCGGTAAGAATGGCTCTCGTGCTTTCTAACGATGAAAAACTAATGCGAATATCTGAAACGGTTCGCGTGATACGGAGCAATTTCCATCGCATGTTTTCGAAAAACACAAAAATTACCGATTTTCAAGATTTTTTTTCTGATTTATTTTCAATTACGACACTTACCTCTCAACTGCAAACCCACTGTTTGAGAAGACTTCACACGAAAAGGACCATTAGCCAGCAAAATATTCACCTATCAGTGATATATACAAACGATGGTGATGGAATTAATAGGGCGACAAGTGGTTAATGCAAACAGACGCGCGGCGATAACAAGCAACAACAATCCACTCGCCTCACGCACAAAACACGACTGAATACATTAACTAGATAGACGGATAGAATAAATAATCAAACTCACGCGCATACTTGCGCACCTACGGCGTGCGCCGGTACTGCGTGTGTGCATGCGCGCCCCCTACAAAGAAACAAAACTAAACAGGGTGTTCGAAGCGTTAAAACGCTATCTCCACGGCGTATATTTAAGAGAAAACTACACAAAAATGCAACCAAGACCCTGTTTTATAAAGGAGCATCGTATAATCTGACCCAAACCCGAATTATCAAAGAAACATGACTCAAAGGCGCAAATATCTGTAAAAACTCATTTGTAAAATTAATAAAACTTAAAAATATTCAAATAAGGAAATGTTATAATTACCAGCTCTGCATAAACCGTCTAAAAAACATATTATTTTAAACTTCCAGTGAAATAAAACTAGAATACAACACAGTAGGTCTGAAATATAAATTAACTCAAAAGCACAGAAGAAACTTCACTTAATTATACAAACAAAAACACAAAAATGTGTTTTAGCATTCAGTTAAACCAGTGATGGCTGCATTTTTATACCTGTATCATCATCACTGTCCTCATCTACCTTCGCTTTTTTACTTGGAACCTCAACATCTTCAGCAGGTCTCTTCATACATACAATTTCCTCCTCATCATCATCACCATCGCCTTCAATCAATCTTTTAAACGCGTCATACTTATCCTTATCTTGCATTAAACTGCCTTCAGCCTCAGCAGCAACAGTATCATTTCCAGTCTTATCCACTTTAGGAGTATTTTGTTGGAATTTTGAAGGATTTATTGTAGCTGTGTCGATTTTTAATATCTCTCGAAGCACCATGGTAGCATACGAAGACGACTTTAACTTAAAACTTACCACCAGACCTTTAAATTTACCATCAGGGTTATTTACGGGTTCTTTGTGTCCGAGTATCTCTTCAAAATCGGAACGTATGAGTGTATCAATGGGGTCGTTGTATTTGATAGTATGCCATGCTAATTCTTCAGGTTTACTAACAATTTTCCTATAGGTACCACTCAAGGTGTAACATCTACAAAAAAATCAATAGAAACATAAATAATTACAATAAAAAGACTGAATATCTACTTGACACGTTGCTTTGGCATTTCAAGCTCAAGTTTATGTTTCCCTAAGAGTTCCACGTAGTAATCCTTCAAGTTTTCTGGATAAGTAACGTCATATCCGGGCATAGGCAACACAACATCATAAATTGTATAATTTGATAAATCTTCTTCACTTAAAACTTTAACTAATTGTTTCTTTATTTCTGCGTCTTCATCTTTTTCATTTTCTTCAGTAATTTGGGCATCGTCATCCTTGAGACCTTTTGTATCATCTAAAAGAAATTCATTCTCTTCTTGGTCTGTCAAATAGACTAAATCCCCTACAACAGGATTCAAACCAAAGTCTTTCACGCGTTTCGACGCGACTTGATTCCAAATTAAGCTTTGGAAAGCGTGAATATACATCAGGCGCATATTTCTTGGAATCTACACAAAAATAAATCAGAATTTAAGATGGTTTTATAATTATTATTACTTACACATTCCAAAGCATTCACAAAATCATTCTTTCCAAACTTGGCAAGTCCATGAATCAATTTCGACTCAATGGATTGATTTGATGATAATTTCTGCAATGCATCTTGAGCATTCTGAGTCTCTGCATAAATTTTCTTAGCCTGAGTAATCTCAGCTAAAGGATTGTCATAATCTTTAGGTTTTAGAATTAAACTGCAAGCCTGGAGCATAATAATTTGTGTAACATGGGACCCTAATCATTAGTGTGATTAGTTGGCGAGGCCTGCAACATTGAGTAGTTGGAAGTAGGTTTACTTAACCATTGGTGTGGTTGTTGTTAACATAGGACCTAATCATTAGTGTGATTAGTTGTGAACTACCAACCATTGTAGTGGTTGGAGTAGGTTGCCAACCATTGGTGTGGATTTATTAACATGGGACCTAATCATTAGTGCGTTGGTTTTTGAGCTACTGTATTGTAGTGGTTGAGTGAGTTTATACAACCATTGGTGTGGTTGTGTGACATGAGACCCTGAAATCGTTGGTGTGATTGGTTGTGAACTACTTGTGCGTGGTAGCTGAGTAAATTTCAACCATTGTGATGGTTGTGAAGTGCCAGTGATAATTCTAGTGATTTGGCGATGTTGCAAAATCGGTGGTGTGCGGGGTTTAGAAAACCATTGGCAATTAGTTTTGCGTATTTTTTTGTGATTTTATTGAAATGTAATATTGCATATGAGAGAATGTAGAGATGTGGTCAGAGACCAATAGCCGAGGTGATTAGTACCGAACAAGATTCTGAGATTTGCGCACGACACAGGAATGAAGCACGGATATTGTTATAGATAGCCGTGTCGGATTCGAATACGAACAAGGACATGCATCTGAACGCAGAGGTGAATAAGCTAATGGAGGTGCAGTACTTGCATCGTGTGGTCTGGGTGTTAGCGCGTCTCAGTAAGAGCGACAAGCGCGAAGGGATTCAACGAAGGTTTCGAAGGAAAGGCGAATCGTATGAGACACTCACTCTGGGGAGCACCGTTGAGCGCGCGCAGCTCATCCCGTTACATGATTCAATTCGTTCGCGAACATCCTAAGACATACTTTGTTTTGCGTAAATGGCGCGTAATTTTAGAAATTGGAATGTTGTTAATGTAGTTGGGAGGTATCCGACATATATATATTTTATATTTTTATGCAGAACGGTACCAGTCTTCTATAATCAGCGATTCGTTTGGTTGCTCTGGCACTTTTGGTTTGAGAGTGCTGAATTTTCTAAAAGTATTAAAGAAGAAAAAGTATCAGAAAAGCCTTATAGCCCAATTTTTCTTAAGCAAAAATTTTTATTTTTCAGATTTTTACTTTAACTGCACCATGTATTTATAGATATTGGTCGTAGAATATTCTCTACGAGTTTGCACCACATCCTGATGGATGGGAATGTGCATTTGAATGAAATGGGCGGAAACATTAAAAATGTCACTTTTTGCTTTACTTTTAGTCTTTTCGATATTACTTTAATAGGAAATATATATATTTTAAATTTTTATCTGGTACAGAGATTTTCGGTCTTCTATAATCAGCGATTCGTTAGTTTTGTAAACTTTGGTTTAGAGATATGAATTTTCAAAAATCGTCTGAAAAAAGTATATTTTACCAACTTAATTTCTCTTAAAAGTAAAAATTTTTATTTTTTCAGATTTCCACTTTTAGCATATGTTTATAGATATATTGGTCCGTAGAATATTCTCACGAGTTAACACCTATTTATCTCTGTTAGTTTGAGATATTAGCGATTGGATAAATAGACTAAGAATTAAAAATTTCACTTTTACTGGCTTTTGGTCGCTAGACCCTTTACTGTAGGAAATATTTATATTTTAAAATTTTTGTCTGGTGCAAATTTTCCAGTCTTCTATAATCAGCGATTCGTTAGTTTGCTCTGGCTTTTAGTTTAAAGATATGAATTTTCAAAAATTGTCGAAAAAAGGTAATGAGCACCCCCTTGGCAATTTTTCTTAAGTAAAATTTTGTTTTAGATTTTTACAGCTTTAACTACTGTATGTTATAGATATTAGTCCGTAGAATATTCTCTGCGGAAGTTGTACTATTTATCTCTGTTAGTTTACGAGATATTCACCGTTGAATGAAATGGGCAAAAGTGCAAAGTTTTAAGCAGTGCCTTTTCGACCCTTTAACGTAGGAAATATTTATATTTTAAATTTTATCTGGTACAAAATTTTCCAGTCTTCTATAATCAGCGATTCGTTGCTTAGTTTGCTCTGGCACCTTTGGTTTAAAGAGATATATAGATTTTCAAAATCGTCGAAAAAATTATCAAGCACCCCCTTAGCAATTTTACACCTTTAAGTAAAAAATTTTATTTTTCAGATATCCGCTTTAACTACTGTATGTTATAGATATTAGTCCGTAGAATATTCTCTGCGAGTTGTACCTATTTATCTCTTTTAGTTTACGAGATATTCGCGATTGAATAAAATAGGCAAAAATTGAAAAATTTGGAGTAGCGGGTCTGTGAGTAGTGGAAACTATTTTAAGCCACCCAGTCTGTGCAAGCAGAATTGGTTGCAGTCGTTTGAATATTCGCCCTCTTGCATAGTTACATCTAGATCAAAAGATATCTTCAATTAGGTTCGTTCTGTCGTCTTTAATTTAGGTATATAATTGCAAGCGGGGTTTGGTAATTTGCTTTGTGTATTTTCAAAAAATACAAAAAATGATGCTATTAATCAAACAACAGTGATAAATACATATTTACAAATAAATTACTACTGTTGCGCGCATTGCAGACCAGAGCCGCCATCCTCGTCGCTCTCGTCTGATGAATATCGTTTGGGCTTACGTTCTGGTTTAAACTCCAACAATTCGACCTCCTCCACGTGTTCGCCTTCTGGCATCACAAACGCTTCTCGTGATGGCAATAACTCCTCGAGTTTCTGTAGCAAATCGATCGTGGCAAAATTGTTAGGCGGAAATTCCACGTCAAAGGCAATGAACATGTTTCCTTTCTGGTCGGGAGTCTTGTGAACCGGCATGCCCTCGCCAGCAATGACCCGCTTATCGCCTGGTTTAATGACGACTCCCGGTGGATGTCGCACCACTAACTCACGACCATCCAGGTGGGTTATCACCATCGTAAAACCGCAAAGCGCCTCTACCAATGTGATGGTTCGATCAATAGACAAATTGTCCCTATCTCTTGCAAAATCATCATGGTAAATCATTGACAGCAAAACGATAACATCTCCCGGAGGATAACCAGGAGTACGATCTCCATCACCACGAAAGTACATCTTGGCATCGGCGGTCATTCCCTTGTCAATTTGCACTTCCACAAACGTGTGCTCAATTTGCACGCCCTGGCCATCGCAGGATGTGCACTTGTCGTCTTCGCACATAAAATTACCGGCACCCATGCACTCAGGACACCGGGATTTGAGCTTCTGTGGCGAGCCAGACGGTATTTCCTTGTATACGTACACCAAGCCAGTGCCGGTGCATGTCTGGCACGCCTTTCTTGCACCAGTCTTGCATCCTTTGCCTTGACAGACTGAACAAAATGAGCGCCTGTCCAATGGCACTTGGGCAGTCTTTCCATTGTACAAGTCTTCTAATGTGACTGCCAAGGACAACACTGTGTCCTCAGGCCTATGTCGACGTCTAGGCCCACCTCCAAATCCGCCGAAAAGTCCTCCACCAAAGAGATGCGAAAACAATTCATCAGCCTGAAACATTCCAACACCTCCTCCATCATGCCCTCCATCCTGTACCCCTTTCATCCCATATCTATCATATATGGAACGTTTCCTTGGATCTGAAAGCACTTCGTAGGCATTTGAAATTTCCTTAAATCTATCTCCAGCATCAGGATTCTTATCGGGATGGTACTCCTTGGCAAGGCGGCGATAACTCTAAAAGTAAAGAGAAGATAAGGGCAACATGTCAGTGTTTACACAAACCAACATTGTGCAATAGTTGTATGAAAGTAAAACTTAAGTGACTAAATGACAGGCAAGTACCGAACGTTACGTTAGTTATATATATATATAAACGAACTTACTTTCTTCAGGTCGCCGTCATTTGCTGTTCTTGGCACCTCCAGAATGTCATAAAGCTTGTTGTCGGCCATCTTACAACCGGGAAACAGAGCGGGCACGATCCCGGAGAAGGCGTTGGACCTGGACGACTCCCACAACCGTAGGCCACAACTGATACAATTGCGCGTGCGTTCGTAGTCCGTAAAGATAGCATGCAGCTATGAGATGCCCCCTACACGACAACAACGGAACAGAGATAAGAGCTGAAATTCGGTTTAAAAAAGCAGCACAGATATTCCATTTTGGCTATGTTTTATAAAAAAATTATTATATAATCATATCTATACACGAATAATTAAAGTCATTTTTTCTAAGCGTGCAAATATTTGTAAAAATATTGCTAATGAAAATCAAAATACATATGATTGGTGCGTAGAGTTGCTGTTTCCACTTCTTATTCTTGTAATATATGCAACCGAATAAACACATTTCAAATAGGTGAAGATAAAGTTTTCCGCCTGTGTATCGATCCGTTTATGTTTTCCCGACACAACCGCCGACGCCGACGCAACACAATCCAATAATATAAGAGGATGAGACCATTTGGTTAATAGATAATGTCAGGAGATATGTGTTGCTTTCGGACATTAGTTAATGCGCTTTCCGTATGAAACGGTCACGAGTGGTGCGATATCCTCGTCATGGAAAAAGTATTTCGACTAAATAATAAGGTATATTAATTAACTATATTTAACCTTGTATCTAAAACAACGTTTAAGAAAATCATATTAGCATATCAAAGCTTATTATAATTATTTCTTCAAAATATATTGTAGAGAATGGTGTACCCTGAACGTTTAACTCTAGACCAAGTCTCCCGAAAAGAATCAGCAAATTCGAATGCATCCTGGATCAGCGACCAGAGTGATGTCAACGGAAACAATGAAGAAAATAAACCGATTGAGGAACATGCATCTGCATCCTCTGCCACTTCAGCAGGATCCATGTGAGTTTAAGAACAACGTTTAAAAAATATTTCCAGACCTTTGCTTGGTAATAGTAATATTCGAAATGACTTCAGATGTAAATGTAGATTAAGATGTATGAACTTGACATGCAACAAAGCAATTACGTTTAATTGCTTAACAAACTACCCCATAAATATAAAGTAGTGTGAGGAATTGAAATCGATAAAACAAACAAATGTAACGCATATTTAGAGCACAAATGGTAGAACAAAGAAACGGTAAAGTAAAGAAAACCAAATAGGAATCATTCTTCTTGTTTTATATAATGTATTGCAAGTTCTTACAACTGAAACCAGATTGCAACCCAAATTGACTAAAAGGAAGTCTAGAGACCAGCGGTTAGGCTGCACCCCCCCAACCACATCCCAAGAAAGAAGAGAAAGAGACCTAGAACCATGCAACTGCTCTATTGAACCACAGTATCCGCAAAAAGTAGTGAGGAAGATGCTAGTCGCGGGTATCGTCACGGCAGTGGCAGCTTTCTAGGTTTATCTCACCTTTTCTTTGGGTCTTAGGGTCTCTCAGTATACCTACCAATGGTTCCAACCCTCTATTAATTACTGTAGTAATCAAACACAATTTCCAGGGGAAATAGTCGTCAATTCATCCAAGACAGAATCCGTCATCTTGTCGATGCATTCACGTACCGCACACAAGCGACCCGTGAGCGTATGCAAATGCCACAAACGCCCTCCTCGATCAGCAGCCACGATGCAGTAGACCCTCCACCGCTTAAAGCCAAGTTCCTCACTGACAATATCATTTATCCGATGAAAATTGACGAAATTGGCAAACCCACGCGCAATCCCTGGGTCTACATGCGGCAGTTATGGGCCAGCAAGGTGATAGACCCACAAGGGACCATCTATGTGATTTGGATCTCAATTGCCGCGCTGGCAGTGGTATACAACATGTGGGTCATCCCACTACGCAGCACTTTTCCATATCAAAACCGCCATAATCGGATCGCATGGATGTTTTTCGACTATCTAGCGGATCTGATTTACCTCGTAGATATGCTGGTGATTCAGCCGAGAATTATGTTCCTCAGCGAAGGGTTTTGGATGAAGGACATTAACTTCACCAAGCAGAATTACATGCGACAGCGAAATTTTAAAGTAAGAGAACAAACATTCATCAGCAGTAAATCTAACATAGGATTTGTTTTTTAGCTGGATATATTGGCCTTACTTCCGCTGGATTTGTTGTATTTTGTATTTGGACCGGAAGCAATCTTGTTGCGCTTTCCTCGATTCTTCAAAATGCACACTTTCTGGGCCTTCTTTGATTTGGTCGATAAATTGATTGCCTCCCCGCATATTATTCGCATTGCTCGTACCCTGTTGTATATGATGTATTTGATACACTTGAATGCCTGCGCATACTATGCGTTTTCTGCCTGGGAAGGCATCGGGACAAATAATTTTGTTTTCAATGGCGTGGGGAACGCGTACATCAAATGTTTCTACTTTGCAACAAAAACGGCAACTTCCATCGGAAAAAATCCGAAACCAACGCAGGAAATTGAATTTATATTCATGACATTCTCGTGGTTGATGGGCGTGTTTGTGTTTGCTTTGCTAATCGGCCAAATTCGGGACATTATTGCAACAGCGACTCGGTCGCAGACAGAATATCGAAAGCTAGTGGATGAAACTTTGGAATACATGCGGCGGTTGAATCTACCGCAAGAGATGCAAAAGCGTGTCCAGTCTTGGTTTAATTACACATGGGAAACACAACATACCTTAGACGAAAATAACATAATGGATTGTCTCCCGCACAAAATGAAAACCGATATAGCAATCAATGTATACATTGAGATCCTCTCAAAAGTGAAGCTCTTTTCTGATTGTGACGAAGCCTTGTTACGTGAGCTCGTTCTGCAACTGCGCAGTGTAATCTATCTACCTTGCGACACTATCTGCAAGCGTGGAGATGTTGGTAAAGAGATGTACATCATTCAGTCTGGGCAGGTACAAGTGATGAGTAAAGAAGGTGATGAAGTTTTAGCAACGCTCACCGAGGGTTCAGTATTTGGCGAGATTAGTTTGCTGGGAATTGAAGGAATGACTCGCCGCACCGCCGATGTCCGCTCGCACGGGTTTTCGAACTTATTCGTCCTGAGCAAATCAGATCTCAATGCAGCATTGTCGCATTATCCTGAAGCTCAAGAACTGCTAAATCGCAAAGCTAAAGCGCTCATGAAGAAGAACGAAGCGCTCGAACGCAAGAAAGAAGCGTTGATTGTCATCAACAATCCGCAACCGCAACAGCCACACGCGAAATTGTTGAATACAGTTATGCAAGTCATGCCGGAGGATTCTTCCACGCATCGATTACTGCGATATGGGTCGAGGGGCAGACCACGAACAGCAAAGAAAGATAATAATCGCAGGAGTTTGCCTTCGGTGAGAGATCTTGGCAGTGCTGAAGATCGCAGTACTTTTGAAACAAAAGTTACTGTTCATAGATCTATGAGTTAAATGTTGTGTTAACGAAAAAGGTATAACGAGATATATTTCACAAATTAAACATGAATAGCGGACGAAAAAATGGTTGTTTAGATGAAAATAAAATATTTTTATGGGAAACAGTATTATTATTGTAGTCGGTATAAAATAAAGTTATCAATCTAAAATCATGGACGTATTCCAAAGTGTTGTTTGAACAATCAATTTTTAAAAAGTCAAAATTTTACCACCATAACCTTGCTTAATCTGCAGTTATCTCCGGCAAACCGGCAATGTACAGTCAAAAATTGAATACACACCGTGAACAAACTGATAATTTCTGTTCCAACCATACCTTGGCAACAAGATCTGTCTACCTAATATTTGAACAGTTTCTACATTGATTTAATTTTGTTAATATACCATGTCCAAACTGGAAATCCTGAAACCAAGAGAAAGTGGTAAATACATTGCTGACAATGCAAAGTATGTGCAAATAAAATATGCTGGCATCAAAAGGCTGGGTGATGAGGTAAAAAACGAAAAATTACTAAAGTTGTTAAAAGCAACATGGCTAACATTAGAATTTCAGGTTGTTACCAAGATAAATTCTGGTGAATTATCAGTGGACCTCTTTAGCCAGGCAGCAATTCATCCCAAATCTACAGATGCATGGGCCCAGGATTGGCTTTTTGTTGTGGATACGCTTAATTTCTGTTTCTGGTCCAGAGAACATGAAGAGGGTTGGACTGTAGATGGATACACTGGGTATTTTGCACTATGTGCAGCCATTAACAGAGCCATGAAAGAAAAGGTTGATATTCTCAATCCTAAATTCTACTCCACCATCACCCATCAACAGGCGGAATCCCTATTTCGGAGTGATAATCAAGTAAAGATACCATTGTTTGAAGAAAGGATTACATCTTTGCATGAAGTTGGCAGCATTTTATTCGAAAAGTTTGATGGCAGTTTTGATAATGTTGTAAAGCAGGCGGAGAAAAGTGCTGTTAAACTTCTACAACTTATTGTCCAAAACTTTCCATGCTTTAGAGATGAAGCAGTCTATAAGGGAAAGAATATTGCTATCTATAAAAGGGCGCAAATTTTAGTTGGTGATATTTGGGCCTGTCATAAGGGAAAAGATGTAGGAGAGTTTGTTGATATTGATGAGATTACCATGTTTGCTGACTACCGGGTACCTCAATCATTGCTAGATTTTGGTGTGTTTGAATACACAGACGATTTACTACAGAGGCTAAAACAGACTGAAACACTGCCAAATGGGGATGAAATGGAGGTCGAGATTCGAGGTTGTTCCATTCATGCCGTTGAATTGATAAAGGATTATGTAAACAAGATTTTACCTGAAGGCAAAAAAGCCAATGGAATCTTGCTGGATCATTTCTTATGGGACTACAGAAGGCAACATGCTAAGCAAATTCTACAGAAAAAGTTACCATTCCATAAAACTTATTGTGTTTACTATTAAATTTATTTAATAAACCATTTTCAAGTCCAGGGAAGGAAGTTACAAAACATAACAATTCCAATAAAATAATATGCGAAACAATACAATTTCATGAATGTTTTGTTCTTATTGGTGCAGAACCAGTAAATTGCTGGATTCGCCGAAAACAACATTCTCGTTGTGACTTGTATGTGCACAATGAAAATACAAAACATGCACAACAGAAACGCGTGCACCACGCATACAAATAAAAAGTCTTTGGAATCTTCTTCTGTACGTTTATGCACCACTTTCTTTTTCTCGTCGACCTTACTGAAATAACTAGCGTGGATAGTTTTGAATATTCCCAAATGAATTAAATATTCATTGTTATGATAGAGAAAAGCAATGCACTCACTCAATGTAATATAAATAACAGGCATTGCTAACAAGAAGTTTGGCAATTGTTTTAGTTCGTAATACCTTAAAAAGCCAACATTCCAGTAATATTCTTGAACGTATGAATAGGGCAGTGGTATGTAATTAAAATCGCACCAAGATTGATTGTAATACTGTCCAGTTAATCTGTAGCCATTAGTGACTGCATGGTTGACTACTTCTTGAGGCAAATTAACAAAATTGTCAAAACAAAAATTAGAATGATGATAAAACTGAAGAAAAACAAATGGTGCTACACAGATGATGATAGACATAGCTAAAACAACTAGATTGCATGATAATTTCAGCAGTTTTATACATAAATGTGGTTGTGTACTGTGAACTAAACTGTTTCTCAAATTTCTCACAAAAAAATACATAAGAAAACCTAGATTAAGTAAACCATTGGATCTTGTTAATGTACTCAATGCAATCAATAGACAACTAAGGAATAACCACTTGGCAGATACTAAAAATGTATCAAAATGCATTTTCCAGCTGCAGTATATCAAAGCAAATGTTAGAAATGCAAATAAACATTCAGTATAAGCTGCAGAAAAAAATATTGTGGCTGGATTGATACAAAATAGTAGTGTTGCAATGTGAGCTCTGTGTGTACCAAACCAAGACTCAGTTAATTTGTATAAAATACAAGCACTGAGTAAAAACATAACAAAATTAAAAAGGACAAATGTGAGCAGTATTTGTGACTCAAAAGTTAAAAATGGAAGGTGTAGTAACTTAGCTAAATACTGTACAGTATATGGCAGCAATGGGAAGAATGCCAATGAATTCTCATAAGTGTATCCATAAAGTGCAATGTGCATGAAGTGTTGTCCATCCCATTGTGTTAAGCCACCCAAAACATTCAAGACTATGTCATCCCATAATGTCTTCTGAACTTCCAACGGTCGCGGATAGACAAATACTTTAGCATCATGATCAGGTATTAAATAATTGGCTACATATTGCAAAGCAATGACCAATAATCGCAATTGAACTGCAATGACCAATAAATTTTTAGTTATCATGGTTTTATCTAAAAAATATAAATTAATTGTTAGTATAACACATTAGATACGTGCATTACTATTTTGCTATTAGGTTTTCAATCATTTTCTCTTAATTCTTGTGGAATTTGCCTTGTCTGGATTACTTGCGAGAAAGATGTGACGCAAGTTGCCGCCCTCGATACATTGTCATCAAACTACCTAACCTTGAATTAGTTCATCTAGTTCGTCGTTTTCGTTCGTTTGTGGTTGATTTGATGATCATTTAAAGATCATTATTTTTATTGATGCGTGTCTTTTCTCAACACTCCCTGGTAGTTTAGTGAAATTCTATCAAATGTAATGTTATCGAGAATTTATCGCACTGAACCGGACACACGCTGGAGGCAAATAAACACACTCAAAGTATTCAATGATAAGTAAGTGTAATTGCAAAGTGTCATAAAAACTAAAGCTTTAATCACCTTTGTTCTAGTGTAATTGAAATCCAAGAAGGGCAAGAGTATCAAGTATTATTCAAATCAGGCAGTAATGACCTAGTCTTAAGTGTATCACTGTCAAATGAATTCCCCAAAGATAAACCATTCATCAAAATAAAACCAATTGTTTTCCACCAGTGGGTGGCTGGAGATGGGGAAGTTACAGGTGCTCCAGGTTTAATCAATGTATGATATTTGCTCTCTTTTGGGTAGATTGCTAATCTCATCAATTTTATCACAATTATTGCAGTTTACTGTTCATTCAGACCTTGGCAGGGTAGTGCAGGCAATCATCAGGGAATTTGAGAGGACACCACCTCCTTTACAAGAGTCATGTAGTTTATCAACCTCACCATCCATTACAAATCGAAGTATAACTCAAACATTATCAATTAATATGTGGAACAGTCTAAAATGTGTGTGTGTTATATCTATTGTAGTACAACCAGATGTTGATATAATGGGTAGAGCTAGTCCAAATTATTTTAATCATAACTATCCGACAACAACAACAACAACAAGTAATACTCCGGCGAGCAGCTACCAATCGGCGGCATTCCCCGAACTCAGTGCAATGAGCAACGACGAATTAAAACAATTAAACGAAAGCGTCGAGCGCCAAGAAGACTTCCTTGAAAACTTACCGCAAAACAAAGAAACCAATAAGATAATAGACGACTTAATTCTGCAAATCGAAGAATTGGCGGATTCCAACCTCAGCAAGCAGCCACTGCTGGAGGATCTAAAGAAAGATATTAATACGCGCATTGAAGAAGTGACGAAGCTGGCGTTCGAAACCGAAAGACTGAACATGGCTTATCAGACAATATCCGAGAAATATTCACCTAAAAATATAAAGAACAAACTTCAGTTCGCCGCCGAAGAGGCGAACGTAAGGAGTGAGGCCATCGCGGAGCAGTTTTTGCAGGGGCAGATGGACGTGGAGAAGTTTGTGGTCGAGTATATTCAATCGCGGAGCCTCGCGCAGGCGCGTAAAACCAAGGAGGAGAAGCTGTCGCAACAGTTGGAGAATCTGGAGCGCGCCGGCTTCTGAGCGTTTGTTTATTTTTGTTACCCCCCTACACCCACACTACTGATACTTATTTATGAATCCGATTGTGATTTATTTTCGCGTACTTGCTTTTGTGATCAATGTATGAATATAATGGCGATAGTTTCGGGTAAATGATTTATAGAAAACAACAAAATAAATGAAGAATTGACGAGTTACATTAAAAGTATCAGTTCTTTATTGTTTATATCCAAAAATGCATGGAACTTAATCAATTTGCGGTTGTTTGTTAAATATTTCCGTTGGTATTAATTATGTGCAATTGATAACAATATGTCAATATTTGCAACGCGAATAATTTGGTTTAAAGCACTTATTGTGAGTATTTATAAAGTGTACATTATGCTTCATGTCGGAGGTAACACGGGTTGAACGGGAATAATTGGTCCTACTGGTGGTGGTGGCTGTGGTAGAAATCGAGGACCAGGCGCGTTTGCAACGCCAAAAGCGGAAACAAACACATTCACAGCCGTGACCAGAAAAATCCCAATAACTGTGTAATTATTGATGCGGTTAGCGATGCAGATCTCTTTATCGTTCTTCACATTGTAGCGCGAGTTGAGAATCAAACCCAAACCAATGGCGACCTAAACAAACAAACGCATTGTATATTAAATATTGTGGTCAAAAGTTATCTTTTAATGTTTCCGGTCAATGTGATTTATAATTAAACCAATGCGCAATTATGTTCTGTACTTACTTGTAATAGAATACTAAGCGAAATCAGTATGACACTGGGATAATAATACGGATGTCGATCAAAGCTTTCAAGCACGTATCGCAGTTGATTTGCGTTTGCGGAAAATAGTGCAAGGTCCATCATTCCTTGCGCCAGAGTTTTCTTGTGTTGGTATTGGTTTACATCTGGAATGCTTTCCAGATCCAAGATTGAAAACCCGTTTTCTGCATCGGGGCCGAACCCCGGTGCGTGTGGGAATGGCGCTGTGGGGTGTGGGTGTCTCGGCGCGTATCTGCCATCAAATTCGTCCGGGTATGGTAATTTTGGGTGATGCGATGGGTTGGATTCACCATGTTCGCTTGTTGGTGGTTTGTGGGATCCAGGCAGCGTGGGCGCGTTGTCGAAGAATCCGTCGTCAACACCGGGTCGTGGTTTGTTTAAAACTTCGCGGTCATTGTCGAGGTCATCGATCTCCGAAATCTTCGCAGTCGGAGGCACAGCTTCTGATTGTGTGGACATTTCGATTAAAGGACTTTTCTCTGTGCGTTCTAATGAATGATGCCGATCAATCCACGAAGACGTGTTGTCGCGCGAAGCAGCTGGATTCATACTGAAAGACTTCAAGCTTTCAAGTGTCTTGGAGCTATAAATTCGGATGTTGTCCTGCGAGTTTTGGGACCGAACCGAACCGCAGAACAGTAGCGACTGTTGTACTAAGCCGGTTTTAAACACTACGTAGGTATGTAGGCGAATGTTGGAAAATCGGTCGGTTGTATGAATAATCGAGACCTTGACTGTCCACAGCAGTAACTGGTAAGTTAATTTGCTTGGTTTACAATTCGCGCAACTGTGGAATTCACTCATTATGCATGACGTAGTCGCGGTGTCTTCCAAAACTCATTAGTCAACACGGTAAACTTAAACTTTCGCGAACCAAGCTAAATATAACAAATAAAGCAAATACTACACCAATCACTTTTATTTAAATTAACAAACATTATTCAGATACGGAAACAAAACATGAAACTTTTTATTGAGATGATTCATGGGGTATTAACATTAAGGGAATTCCCTACAAGATTAATCATTTAATTGATTCATATCATAAAATTCATATCCTCTTTTCAAACTGTAAATTAATTGGTCCATCTGGTTGGTTGATCAACACCGACTTGGAATCCAGCTTATCCCCGACCCACCTGACCTTGTAATTCCTTATTAACTGTAATTATTTAATTAACTATATGTATCATGTGACATTTTGGGTATTGTTTGCTATCAAACCTTTAAAATCAATATTTGCATGCTCTGTTCAGCCAATCTTCGCGCAATGCACGATCTCGGTCCATGCCCAAAGGGAATTAAAAGAAATGGATGTGAGGGTTTGTACAATGCATGATCTTTCATCCACCTTTCCGGTTTAAACTCGTGCGCAACTGGAAAATTCTCGTTGAGACGACATGAGACTTGATTCTGACTTACTACCACAGTCTAATAAAACAAGAATTAAATGTAGTAGTTCAAACTATAAGTAATTACAAAAAATACCCCTTCCGGAACTTCGTAGTTTGAAAACACTCCTTTTTCCTGTAAGATACGTCCTATACCGATAGAAATCGGCCGTAATCGCAAACTTTCTTTAAGTACGGCTTTCGTGTAAAATGCATTGTTTAATACTTCGATTGTGACAGGTGATGATGGCGTTGGGAGCAATTTAAGAGATTCATCATAGATTATATTTTGTACGTGAGGATTTTTTGCGATGTTGTACAACAAGAAACTTGTTGTGTAAGTCGTCTAGAAGATGGAAACATTATACAAAACACTCATTTTATAAATTTTTAGTTATTAAATTTACGGTGTCTATTCCTGCCAACAGAATGTCACAAACCATCCCGATGATGTCCTTGAAATCCAATTCAGGCGACGCGAGGTAGTTTTCTAACAAAGTAGTTTGATGCTTAGTTTCATCAAACAGGGACATTTTTAGCGACAATAAGTCAATTGCGGTACTAAAATATCAATTATTCAGTATATATGAGTTGTAAGAGTATGACAAAAGTTAAATATCCTTACTCTTCCATAAAATTCTGCGCATGTTTTAATTTTCGGTACAGAGGCGTTTCAAATTTCCTCCATAGTTGAGGACCGTTGTCTGTTTTCAATATGCAACTATTTGTGGTCAGCGCGGCTTTCATCAACTTGGAAGAACGTGAGCTGGAATGTAATTCATCACGAGAAAAGCTATTCAAGCGTAAATCTAGTGCTGATAGACCAGTTACTAAAATTGAACATTAAACAGTAGAAAATGATTGCTTATAGTGTAGTGGATTAAATAAACTTACTTTCTAGAAATAGTCGTGCTAATTCGGGTAGATAATCGTAGTTTTTGGGTTGTGGTTTCTTCGAATGAATATGATCTAATCTTTCAAACCATTCTTGGATAACATCATCAGATGGTTTTATAAAATGTTGCACAGCAACTGGACTACTCAGACCTTTTTGAAATACTTTTCTCAACTTGTACCATGTTTCACCATTACTTAAAAGTTTCAAGATTGTATCAATTAGTTGCTGGGAAAGTGAGCTATTGTAAATCTTACGTAGGTAAAAGGCCACCAGTATTATAAACAGTAGGTCTATCAAGTCTGTACTTTTCTAAAGCTAAGTGACTTCTACGCTGTGGATACTTGCCCTCATATCTGAACATGGTTTCAATATCCTCTGGTTTAAACAACCACACAATATTGACTCCAGGAACAATTTCCTCCTTAACAATTGGGCCATATTTGTTGAGTTTCTTTAATCCATTAATGTGCAACTTATCAAAACTATATGGTCCTAAAAATAAGAAAATAAGTAACAAGTAAGTAGAATGTAATGAGTTACTCACCAATTATTGGTAGATATTTGTATAGTGTACCAATAAAAGGCAATGATTTAGGACCAGGAATATCAGCAAAAGGTTTAATACTGCTGCTTAAGTGCCTCATTGTACTAAGTACTACTATTGTACTACTATTCTACCATGAATTGTACTACCTGCTGAGGTGGATTTGTAGTGTAACGACTTTAGTAAATGTTACATCTTTGCGTCAGCTGTTTTTGTTGATGGTGCATCAGTTAAGCTGACCGCGCATGTTTTTTAGTCGACATACACGCTAATCTAACTCAACTGTCGTATTCCAAACACATGCTGTTTTAAACATAACGCAAACCATACAAAAAGTTCTGAAAGCGTATCTTAAAGTAGAATTATTTATTATATGTCGTAATACATATTAATTTATTATCTTACGTTAAATGATGTAAATAGTAATTAAAAGCTTTGAGTTACAATGTAATAAAAATATCACTAAAATTAAGCATGGTAAAAGAGTAAAATAGGAGATTCAATTAAAAATCAGCGCCGAAAGTAAAATCATTATCGGATACATTATTCATTACTCCGGCCTTCTGGTACTCGCCGACTTTCTTCTCAAAGAAGTTCGTTTTTCCATCGGTCGAAATAATCGTCATAAAATCAAATGGATTGGTCGCATTGTAAATTTTGTCACATTGAAGCTCACCCAGCAAGCGGTCCGCAACAAATTCGATGTATTGACACATCAGTTTGCAGTTCATTCCAATCAAACTAACCGGCAGAGCATCGGTTAAGAACTCCTGCTCGATCTTCACTGCCTCACGAATGATACTCGTCACGCGCTCCTTAGAAGGTTTCTGTACCAAATGTGAGAACATCAAGCAAGCAAAATCGCAGTGTAGTCCTTCATCGCGGGAAATCAACTCGTTTGAAAATGTTAGACCGGGCATCAAACCGCGCTTCTTCAACCAGAAGATAGACGCGAATGATCCAGAGAAGAAAATGCCTTCAACGGCTGCAAAAGCAACGATTCGTTCACCAAAAGTTGCCTCTTTGCTACTGATCCAGTTCAGTGCCCAGTTGGCTTTTTTGGTTACACAAGGTAAAGTCTCAACAGCATTGAATAAAAACTCTTTCTCTTTCTCATCAGCAATATAGGTCTCAATCAACATGCTGTACATCTCAGAATGAACGTTTTCAATTGCAATCTGGAAGCCATAAAAGCATCTGGCCTCAGTAACCTGTACTTCCTGACTGAACCTTTCCACGAGATTTTCATTAACGATGCCATCGGAGGCGGCAAAGAAGGCGAGCACGTGTGAAATGAAATGACGCTCGTCGGCAGTTAACTTCTCCCAGTCGGCTGTATCCTTCGATAAGTCTACTTCTTCAGTTGTCCAAAAAGATGCTTCAGCTTCCTTGTACTTGGCCCAAATGTCTGGATACTGTATGGGAAAGATAACAAAGCGGCGCGGGTTTTCTTTCAGTAGCGGCTCTATTTCCGGATCGAATTTCTCCTTAGAGGGCGGCGACGTGGATAGTACTAGCGATTTAATACTCAAGTTATCTGTGTTGATAATTTTCTCGGACAGCACGTTAGATGAAACATTTTCTTTGTTTTCTTTGAATAGAGACATCTTGGAAACTTGCAATTTACTAATTAGTATGGCTTTATAAACATTTAATGTAACGGTTACCTTCCCTGTTGTTGGCAGTAGCACGATCAAAGCCGTAATGTGAAATGGCGCAAAATTTTCCAACCGTTAAACCGACAAACGTAAAATAAGGTATAAGGTAGTTGAAAAGCGCGGGAAGAAAACTTGTCAAACTTCTACTACCAACTGTTACGAATAAATATAACTAGGACCAATAGGTGAAATTCGAAATCATGTCAAAAACAATAAGTAAATTTTTAATATATTTCGTGAGTCTTTTACCACTACTCTTTACACTATACAATGTCTCTTCAGAGTTTATTTATTCTTTTGTTGTGCCATTTCTTTCAAATTGCTTTTCTTCGCGTCCTCTTGAAGTTTTTCTTTCTTCTTTTTAAAAACAGGAAAAGGCGGGATATACGTGTTGATCGCTAATTCGAAATTCGGTAAACCCAGTAATCTTATAATGGGCAAATGGCGCAAAAATATTTTGCAAAAATAACCTAAAACAATTTGAGCTTCTTCGGGTGCGAATACTTTTTTATGACTGGGCGCAAACTAGAAACAATCAAATTATATAACCGTTGTTCTGTAAACTACAACACTCACATCAAGGCTGTGATAGCACAAAAGTTCTTTGAAAACCCAGTAAATATCTTCGGCTGTCGTTCGGTGGGAGCTGTTAAAATATCGGTGAGTCATGTAAAGCATTGATAACAACGCGCCTACTTGCTCTTCTTTATAATTTAAAGTTTTGGCGAATTTAAAACCTCCATATAAAAGTTCAACGGCTATTATTTTCGGTAACGCCTTCGGATATTTACGACTCAACTTCGTTTCTACAAAGTACATTTATTTAATTTATACGTGTCACAATAGAAATAATTGTTGCGCAACATGTCGTAGTGTTTCAAATTATTTGTCATCCACTCTCACATTTTCTTTTTAAATCTTACCAATAGCTGCTTTCACTGAACCGAAATTTTTCATCTTCAACAAAACCTCGACTTCGTCCTGCTGCATAAACGCCCAAGTGCATTCCAACGGCTCAGTAAAAATCGGTGGTTCTCTCAGTGCTGGATAAATGTAAGATTGATTTTGTTGCACATGTGCGTTGACTAAATCAGGAAGGGTGTACTTTTCACGACGTACTTCACATTCATTCACGTGTCTTGCAAGAACATTTAAAGATTCCATTGGATTAAATCGCAGTAGAAAAGGATAATATTTGTCAGTTTGATTTGGTGTGATAAGTGGGTTGCCTAAACAGACATTTTAAAATTGGCGCGACAACTCTGACGTCAACAAGGCGACCTTGGAAGGCAAGATGGTGGACCTGGTAGACGATCATTCCATGGAGTGCGATAATATGGGGTTGTTACCAGAGAAAACGCCCGAAGAGTAAGTGAACCTGCAATAAATCAATTCCTTTCATACTTAACTTCACTTCAATGCCGAATTTGTTTGTAATCTGGTGCTAGTGTTTTTCTGTGTGTCGATTGATTGTACTCTGACATAAGTGCAGTATTCCGGTCTAAAGCTGACAAAGCTTGTTCTAGATTTTAAGTATTTTGTTGACCTCAGGTAAATTAACAAAAGTTTGGTGTTATAGAATTGCTCTTACATTAATATAGTTGATATACTGTATCTTGCAAAAAAAATAATATTTATCAAAACATGATTTTTATTCAGTGGAAATTGCGATAATTTGCTTAATTTAATAGTGTTATTTGTCATAGTAAAATGTAGAATAATATATCAAAAATCAAGTAGGTTGTCAAAATTATTGTTTTGTTCTTTGTTTGCATGTCATTTGAAATGTACTTGAATGGAGACAATAATTTCGGTCACTCGTAAGTTGTCCTAAAATAATCGTACCTTCATACCGTTTTATTTCTACTCAACAGGCTGGCTGAGTTGAAAAAGGAAAGCGGTAATCAAAAATACAAATTGAAGGACTACAAATCCGCGCTAGGATTCTATGCCGAAGCAATTGACTTGTGTCCAACAACCGCTGCGTATTACGGCAATCGTTCAGCATGTTATCTAATGCTGAGCAAGTACAGAGAGTCTCTGGACGATGCACGCAAAGCAGTTCTTTTGGATCCCTCCTACGAAAAGGGATACATCCGGATATTGAAATGCGCAATTGCCCTGGGCGATGTAATGACCGCAGAATCCGCTATCGCTTGCATTCAAGAGAAGGTAATCGATCCATCAATCGCAACAGAAATCAAGCAAGTCGAAACACTCAAGCAGTATGAAACTGCCACAGCCAAAGCATATGAAACCAAGGACTACCGAAAGATTGTTTTCTGCATGGATAGATGTCTGGACCACGCTCCGACTTGTGCAAGATACAAGGTGTGCAAGGCGGAGTGTCTTGCCTTCCTGGGACGCTACGATGAGGCGAGCGAGCTTGTCAACGGTGTCCTGCACTTTGATAAAACCAACGCAGACGCTATTTACGTACGCGGCGTTTGCTTGTACTACGACGATAATATTGACCAAGCATTCAATCATTTCATCCACGTACTTCGTCTCGCCCCTGATCACGAAAAGGCGAAAGCAATTTACAAACGCGCCAAACAATTGAAGAAGACCAAAGAAGAGGGTAATGAGGCATACAAACAGAACCGCATCAAGGACGCTTGCGATTTGTACTCACAAGCATTACAGATTGACCCATTGAATAAGAAGACCAACGCCAAGTTATACTTTAATCGCGCGGTAGCGTTAGGAAAGCAGGGAAAGAACCGGGAAGCTATCGCCGACTGCACTTCGGCGTTGCAACTTGATAGTAAATACGTGAAGGCTATTATGAAACGGGCGAGACTCTATATGGATGTAGAAGAATACGAAGAGGCCGTTAAGGATTACGAAACATTATGTAAAATGGACAAGAGCAGAGAAAATAAGAGGTAGTGTATATTTATTTAAAAAATTGATGTTTTATTTATAATTAACATACGTTTGTGTTATTTTAGATTATTACAAGATGCCAAATTTGCTCTCAAGCGCTCTAAGCGTAAAGACTACTATAAAATTCTCGGTGTGGAGCGCTCCGCAAGCGATGACGAAATTAAAAAAGCATACCGAAAGCGCGCTCTCATTCATCATCCTGATCGTCATGCAAGCGCTTCGGATCAAGAAAAGAAGGATCAGGAAAAGAAGTTTAAAGAGCTTGGTGAAGCATACAGCATTCTTTCGGATCCGAAAAAGAAAGCGCGTTATGATAGTGGGCAAGACATGGACGAGATGGACGGAATGCACGCCGATTTTGATCCGGGACAAATGTTCCAGGCGTTTTACACTGGCGGGCATGGTGGCCCTGAGTTTGCCTTTGGCGGTGAGAACAATGGCTTCCCGGGCGCCTTTACCTTCCAGTTTTCGTAGGTATGCAAATGACGGAGGAATTCGGCGCGGGTCGCTGTCAGAATGATAAGACTACATTCCAGTCTTGATCAGCGCACCACCACCGGGACGTGAAATATCCCCCTAACTCTTTTCGACTCCCCCAATCATAAATTTCTCGTTAATTTGTGGCATTGACATCCTCGCTGCTTTAAGTTTACTCTGGTTGCATATGAACATTCATTGACAGCGTAACGGTAGTGATAATGTATTCTTAAGAGCAAATTATGATTTTGTTGATATACTCTCGATTTTTGTTGTTGGTTTTTCTTCGATTTCTTTTGAAAATACAGTTTTTTCCGAGAATTAAAATTTTCCTTTAGCAGATTGGTTCCAGTAATGTGCGGTTAGATGGCGCCATGGGGATTGAATTTTGTATTTTCTTCACGCTTCAAGTTTATTTAAAATGTATAACTTTTTTATAATAGTATAACTTTTTTTGTTTGTTGTGAAATTATGAATTCGGGTTATCCCGCTACCCTTCACTTAAACATGTGTCACTAAATTAATATATTCATAATTTGATCTTCAAATTAGTTCCCAAATGAAGCAAGGAAATGGCGAAATCCAGCAGTCATCATCACCAGCTTGGGACTGCTTTGCAATTTATGCAGGTCGTTTTGTAAATTGTACAAATCACTCATTTTATTACTTATTGCATAATAAAGTGAGCAGTGCACCGAGAAACATTCATCACGCGCGCCTGCAAACTGTTTTTGCTGCAAATTCCACAGGTGGGTCGTAGATTTACGATTATTGCTTATTGATGCATTATTGTCAAGCGTTTTATTGTAAAACGAATTTGTTGTCGGCGTACGTCTCCTCTTACCACCGGTTTGCACCTCCCACTACTTTTTACGGGTTGCCCGCAGTTTTGTTTGCTTTAAGTGCAGTCGGTGATACTGTTCTTTTTTAATATTAGCGAGACTACATTTAAAGGAACTTAACCCACTCGGATTCATCATACCCTCCAAAGGACAGAAAAAGGGCCAAGTTATATCTTTTCGATGTATCCGATAACTGCCCCGTCATTGTTTCGCTACAATTTCGTTTTAAGTTTAAATTTCACTTACTCATCTCAATCTTAAGTTCTTAAGTGAAATACGACTTAAGTCGGGTCAGACGGGACACGAAATGTGGACTATCAATTTTAAAATTAAAAACAAATTAAGATCGATTGATTGATACGTCAACGTCCAAACATCAACGTCTGCATCCAATTAAGTCATCCAAATATTTGTGTTTACATCATATTAACATAACGTGCTGGTAAATTGATTAAATCTACATTTCTAGCATTTAATGGTGAATAAAAATGAGATGGTTAGGCACACAGAATGCAGAACGCGAAATATTCAATTAATAACATTACGAGTATTTCGCGGTATTACCGTGGCAGATTTTGAAGATTTAAATATTTATTCTTCAAAATTTCATTGTTACGAATAGTAACTATTGCGGGCGTGACACAATATTGTCTTTTATTTAATTACTACACGACTACGCCCGTTGGTGTCGTAAATAACACACAAAATGAAAACGCGCCCAGAAAGAGAGAGGAAAAAAAACACATCTCCGCATGCCAGACCGCGGTTCGGGTGGCATTCTGATTGTTTTCAGTGATTGATTGGCTCTTAACTTCTCCGACAGCTGAAGCATGCACGCCACCATATTACAACTATTATAACAAACATTGATTTATGCTAATAACGTACACCGCACTCAATTACACCGGCGTTAATCTCTCTACACTTGCACTAAATACGGAAATGACGTAAAACATGTTTTTCTTTGCTGAAAATAACAATCGTGACTAAAAATATTAATGGAAAAGAAGATTAATTATGCGTTAAAGATAAATATTTTGTTGCATTGTTCCACTTGAAAGCTTTTCAGGTGTGTTTAAGCTCACGCTGCGCGTTTAATTTGTTTTAATCTACCGAATAAATTAACATCGCTTTTGATTTAAGATTGCAATTAAATAGTGTCAAAATATATTGATACAATTTTTCGTAATTGAATTACTTTAAATTTGAACTATGATTAAAAATTTGATTGTTTTCCAAAATATTTGTTTGTGTTGAGATGGTTTGTTGGTTTCGTTGGACGAGTGCCGGTGTGGAATGCGATAATTAATCACCGTCTAGTTGGGCAGCGTTCTACGGCCGTGGCTGGACGACGGGGGGTCGCACCCCGGCGCACCGTGGGGGAGCCGCAGCGCGCGAGACGGACCGAGGAAAATCGCCAAAAAGGGCCCTCGGCCGAAGCGGGCTCGCTCATAACAATTAACGATTTTAGTCGTTTTTAAATGCATTACCGATGCGCGCTCCGTCTCGCAGCGGCGTGATACGGCGTTAAACGTGAAAATAAATAAAACACGCGGCCCCACATCGGGGGTGCGAACATCCATGCGGCGCTCGCACGACTCGTCTTAAACGGCTCGCATCGGCAATAAATCATTTTATCTAATCACGTAATACTTGGAAAATTTGAAATGGAAAATTTTAAATTAAACAAACGGCGCGGAGAGAAATTAAAACAATAAAAACGACTACTTATGTGTGTCAAAGCACGAAAGCTTATCATCCCTTTCATCCCTTTGTTTTTGGAACGTGTAAATTTTTCGCCGAAGACCGTGCGTTTCACCAGAAGTCAAACACGACCGCATCATGTTAAACACGCTGTTTAATAATCGTGCGTAAAAAAGTTTGTTTATTGCTGCGTGTATGCGTGCGCGCGACGAAAAAAAGGTCGTGCTCGTAATCAATGCCGTCCCATCAGAAGCGGTGGTGGGTAACACGCCAAACAGAAGTAAAAATTAACATAAAACCGATTACGACGACACGACACGGAAGCCGCCAACAAGAGAACACTCAAAAACATCGTCACACAGCGCATCTTAAAAAAAACCGACCTACTAATGTCGAAATTATACCGTAAAAATCAATTTGCTAAGAAAAATAAAACGGCAACCTAAAACGCATACTCAAAAATTAAAATTGAACCTTTTATTGATTTGAATAATAAGTAGAACAATAAAACGTTTGAACCAAACCCTGCCGCCCGCCATCCACAAAAAAAAAACGAATAATAAATCGTCGAAACAATGCTCCGGACCGAAATTTAGTCGAATGTGAGAACAAAAAATACAAAACTACAAAAATCGGCATTTTTATCAACAGTTTTATCAACTAGTCAGCCGTTGTGCTTACACGATGATGATAACAATGGTCGATTTGCATTTTAAATTCCCCGTGTGTGTATGTATGTGCTTTTTTTCGTCGTCGGCCGAACATATTTCAGGAGTATGGACAGAATCGATATTGAAGTCAGCATGCCACGGTAAAAACGTAATAACCACACTACGCACGTCAATCCGAGAATATAATAAACATACGAATCAACAAACAAACAAAAAACAATACGCCGATAATAATAAATTATTCACACTGTGAGTGCAGTGTTGGCGGTTTACAATATCTAACATGATACAAATTAATAGGTAATCGTTGTGTAATTGTTGTATAACAATTGTCGTTACATCGAGGAACAAAACATCATGTTGGGATCATAATTACAACAATGTTTCAACCAAGTTGTACACATTTTGTCGTTATACGGAGTTTGTACCGAGAATTAGAACAGTTGGCGCTCTTGAAAATCAAAGTAATGGCAATGTTGGAGTAAATTAAATGAGCAGCACTCTTGTAGATTAACCACAACCGCAAGTTTTCTTATTGGTTGGAGTGCAGCCGCATGGAGGGTTCGGACGCATTTTAACAAATTCGAGTGGACAAGCGCCGCTTTTATTGCGTTACAAGATAGCGGGTGACCCAATGAGTGCATTCGGCGTACTCGGCATCTCGCCGTTCGCGCTACTTGCTTAATGAAGCGTTAAATTTACCGCGGCGAGTGCCTTTCGTCGTAACATCCAATTGATTAGTTTAGTCATGCTTGATCAAACTTTACGATGCGTTCTAGCAAACCTCAAACACTCCAATAACAAACAAACTTGCATCATTTTTATCTGATATTAGCATAAGTCAACAAAGTGACAGATTCCGTGAATCATCAACTATTAAAAGTTGCCAATATAGCTGGTGAAGTGATGAAGTACCTAAATACTTTGCGGATTGACTGAGGATCTTTGGGATTAAATGATCCATAACTAAACAACGAAAACTCATGATCCGAGCGAAGAGGAGAGCAGAATAAAAAGCAATATTATTGAAATATCATCATTTTTTATGTTTGCGCTGCGAGGGTTGCCATTTAATGTTCATCGGAAGTCGAATGCAGTGTGCGCGGCGCTCACCCCAGGAAGTCGACTCATTTTAGCACGACAATTGCGAGTATTTTAGTTTCTGTCCGAAAGTCGCCCCCGCAGCGTCGCAGGATCTGCGGACATTTATAAAACGGATAATAACGCCACTAGTCACGTGTCATCTTCATTCTTGATAACTTATTCACATACCACCCTTAGGCACACAACAGTTATCTTATCTCGGATACGGTTGTGTCGGGTTCTAAGGTAGGTGTCGCCTCGTACAAGTAGGTAATTAAATATTTCCGAGGAGTAGCAGTTGTGTAACATCATGTTGAAACACGACGAAGATGCGTTTTGATTTATCCTTAAAACTTTTACTCCACCACTCGTTTTTTTGTATTTTATTTTATTGCGTTGGACCTTGCTCAACAAAAGAATGAAGTTTGATTAATACCGACGATATAGGTACCTGCCACGCTCTTCTTCTTGACATTGGGTATAGTGGTTCAGGTAGTCGGAATCAACAAGCTGTGGTGTATAAATCAAAGCCTCGGAGAAAAATAAAAAATTAATGCGTTCACAAAAATGACGTGTTTCAGAATTGTGGGTGGAACACGTTTACTTTTTATTTCGAAACGGTCCCGAAAATGAATTTAAAGAATTTCACTCAAAACGCTGATTTTCAAAAGGGGTGGATTTTGATAGTGAAAAATTGTGGATTAAAACGTTCTGCGGAATGTGTTTGGCACCTTATCGGCTCTGTACATCGTGTATCCGCTTTGCGCTTCGGCCATATTAGGCCCGATCACGATTCGCGATCACGGCACGCCTCCGCGAGAAGCATCAGCACAAGAAGAAGAAAGTCACTAGACAATGTGTCTTTGTGTGTCTTTTCTCCGATTCGCAACTTTTTCTCGCTTGCCAGGCCGGCCTGGGAGCGGTGGTCGCCGAGGATTCTCAAAAATTACAGTCTGAAAAAAAATCGCGCTCGAAGTCGGTTAGCATCGTCGCGGATTATGTATGAGACACGACCATATAGAACAAAACGGGCTTCGGTGGGCCTCGCACACTGATTTTCACAAATGCACACCGCGGCGCACGTTTATTGATGCCAGACACGCACACTCGATGCCAATAAACACAGCATCCACAGGTCAGATATCCGCTCTTGCTTTGCCTAATTAAAA